GGAGCTGGGACAGGCGCTGGAGGTGAGCGGGGGGCGGAGGGGCGGTGGTCGCGCGGCCGCGAGCCCTCTGCACGTGGGGTGCAGTCGGGCAGACACCCCGCCAGCCTGTCCCTCTCCGAAACAATGTGCTGTCACTTCCTGGAAGAGGCGCGCCCCATCAGAGGAAGGAGAGGCGACTTCCCCCTGGGATGGGGGAGACAGGGGCCCAGCACTGTGGATAACCCAAGCGATGCCCTTGACTTTCCTCAAGAAAAACCAACCTCGTTTCCCCCTTCCCCATAGTCGCCGCGGCACCGTCTCCCCTCCGTTGCTCCAGCCCGAATCCCAGGGGTCACCCTGGCCTCTTCCTACCCCCCTCCCCACCCCCACACACACCCCATGAGCGGCGGAGGCTGACACTTCCACTGGCAACAAGGATCTCAGATCATTCCCCCCGCTGCTGTGACCCCCTCCTTTGTGGCTATTCTGCTTAAATCCGGCTGCACCTCTTCGTTCACTTAGAATCAGATCCAGACCCTGTGGGTCTGATTCCAGCCTGCTGCGCCCCGCTGGGGCCTGGGGTGTTCCCACTGTTTGCAATGCTCCCCCCCCCCCAACTCCACTCCCAGCAGCTTCTCTTCCTCTGGGTGTAGGTGAAAACGTAGCAGAGGCCTTCCCAAGGGCTGTCAGGATGGTCCCCGCGCCCTGAAGGCCATCTTGCAGGCCAGGAAGCTTGCCAGTGCAGGGGAGGCTGGAGTAGACCTCACCACACCCTCAGGGACTTCCTGGGAGGGGATGGGCAGGAAACCTGGGACTGCAGCTGGCCCAGAGGAGGCTGGCTGCACACCCATCCTGGAAAGCCTATGGGGATGGGGGATGTTTTTATTTGAGGCCCCGCAAGGCCATGGGAAACCCAGGTCTTTGAGACAGAAAGGGCTGACTCTCAGTGAGGACTCGGGCCCTGGCATGGTGCCCAGCTCTGTGCAAACCCCATGCACCAAACCATCCCCACCAGGCGTGCATTAGTGTGTCAGCTCAGCCCTTGGAGGGGCCCAAGCATAGAGAGGTGAGGTGATGCGCCCACATCACAGAGCCCACACTCTTACTGTTGCCCAAACTGTTCCCCATAAAATCACAAGAGAAGTCCTGGCTGAGTAGCTCAGTTGGTTAGAGTGTCGTCCAGATACACCGGTACAGGTTCAATCATGTGGGAGGCAACCAATAAATGTTTCTTTTCTTTTTAAAAAAATATGTATACACTGTGTGTCCAGATTATTATGACCACCTCACGTCTGTAGGCAAATTAGCTATAATTTCGTGCTGAAGTTGCTAGAGGGCCAGACCATTATAAATATGGAAGCAGGTTGTTTACCACGACAGTAGAAGTGATTTTTTTCTGAAGATATGGGTAAACAATGCGATTTAACAGCCTTTGAACGTGGGATGATTGTTGGCGCTCGGAGCCATGGAGCAATATCAGCAAAACAGCTGAATTCGTTAAATGTTCAAGAGTAGCTGTTGTTCAAGTGTTTAAAGACTAGACTGTCAGCCAGAAATCTGGGCC